CGTAGACCACTCGAAGCTTATAGTGAGGTCGCGAACATTTACTCTGGGAAGATAACCAGTGGTCTGTAGTGCTGTTTACTGATGAGAGTCGTCTGCAACCCTCAGGAAGTCCATCCAGACCACGGCGGGCCGATTATGGTTTGAGTGAGAATTCGTGTTGGTGAAAAAACAGATTTCGTTTCATCAGAAATACCTAACTGATGAAAAATACCGTAACCAGGTGCTAGTACCATAAGTCTAACCCATCGATTACAAATGGGCCAAGAATTCATGATCATGTCCGACAACGCCCGTCCACACACGGCATGAGTGATGACCAGCTGGCTGCCGGAGCACGGCGTATCGGTCTTGGACTGGCCCGCGCAATCACTAGACCTAACCCCATAGAGTACGTGCGGGACATGTTCCAAAAAAGGCTTTGCAAAATTTTCCTGCAAACATTGCGACTGAAGAGGTACTTTTTTGGCATCTTAAGAGGACCTGAGACAATTTCTCGCTGCAAGACTTTGATAACTTGATACAGGGCACGGAAAACCGTTGCAGGACCATCGTTAACGCATGGGTAACTTAAGTGACTACTGATTTTTCGCACAATGGATAAAAACAGAATTATTTCGCTTTATTTTTCACTTCTTCTTGACAAACACATTTATCGTTAGTTTTACCATGATTACACTTTTCGTCTTTAATTTATTTACGCAACAAAGAAAAAATTGTTCTATTCTGAAGACTAGTCTGATGAATGGGCTATATAAAAATATATAGGTACATGTTGTATTACCTAATATAAAAAAATTGTGTTTGTTTGTCCGGATTATATGCGCTGCCACACCGTTTATCAGAATGCGGTAAAACTTTGTCAACATATTGCTTGCACTTGCGCGAAGGTTATAAGCATAGTTGGACCTGGCAGGTGGCGCTGCTGTAGAGTCCAGGTATTACCCGTGCGAAGCCGGGGCAGAGCGCTAGCTTATAATAAATTTTGAGTATATTGAGAAAATGCGAAATATCCCTAGACGATATTGATGTATGTGTATACTATTTTATGTTTCTACTAGCCGTCACTAGCAAGCTTCTAAGCACAAAATGATCGTGTAGCATCCCTGACCCTAGTTTCTGTCTGCATATGCGCAAGATATATTACAATAAAAAAATAAGTAGGGTTTTAGGAGGGTTAATCAACGGAAATATCAATAAAAATTCAACATATAAAAACACAGAAGAGCGTTCTCTCTCCGCTAGATGGAGCGGCAATGTAGGAAAGCGAGTAAAGTCAATGAATTGCTCACAACGCTAATGCAGTTATTATGTAACTAAGCTTAAATGTACGCTAAGTGCAAATGATACATTATTATTTAAGCTGTTTATTTTATTTCTGTCAGTGGAATGGGTTTCCAGAAGGAGATTTGCCAAGTCCTTAAAGTTTACTACCTCATTGGGTTGTCAGATTGAACAAATTAAATTGACAGAAAAAAATCGAAATTAATTAGACCAATTATAAACTATTTAAAACTGACTAGTGTGTAGGTGTCTAAATAAACAACGTTTCATGACAAATGCTTTCTATTGTCACACATATTAAAAACTTACATATAAATCTCTAACTTTGTAGACATTGTTGACTTAATTGTTACTTATAATAGGCTGGGAAAAAGTTTCTTCGTATTTTGTATGTATAAAATTGAAGGAAAATCTCTTTGGTTGTACTGTTTGTTTGTATCATGCTGATTTTAATAAAAAAATGTATTTTTGTTTATTCCGACTAGTCTTACAATATGACATTTAGAAAAACAAAAATAAAAAGTAAAAAACACTCTCCTCTCTGACAAAATGAGTGAATCTAACGAAAACATTCGATAATTTCTGAATTTTTATTATAAAAAAGGAAAAAATGCAAATCAATTCGCGAAAACAAATTGTGACGTTTATGGACCTAACGCAGTTTCAGTAAGAGTAGCACAAACTTAGTTCAAGCGTTTTCAGTTCAGGAATTTTTGATGTCAAAGATGCAGCTCGCTCTGCTCGCCCTCATATGGATAAAGTCGATGCCATTTTTGAAGAAGTAGAGCAAGAACGGCATAGTAGTAGTTACGATATAGCCGAGGAATTGAAAATTGACCACAAAAAAGTTTTGATCCGTTTGAAAACATCTCGTTATACAAAAAGCTCAATGTTTGGGTATCACACGATCTCATTGAAAGAAACCTAATGAATCGTGTACTCATTTGCGATTTTCTAGTAAAGCGTAATAAAACCGAACCATTTTTGACTAGATTAATCAATGGTGATGAAAAGTCAAGCACCTACGACAGTAATGTGTGAAAAAGATCATGGTCAAAGGGTAGTCAAGCTTCACACTGTAGTGAAACCCGGATTAACACGGTATAAGGTGATGCTGTGTGTATAGAGGAATTGGAAGGGCATCGTTCATTATGAGCTCTTACCGCCGGTAAAACCATCGATTTGGATCTCTACTGCCAACAACTAGTTAGACTCAAGCAAGAAATGAAGAAAAAACGGTCGGAGTCCATCAAAAAAAAAAGTGTTCTTTGATCGTGATAACGCCAGATCACACACATCATTGGCTTCTCAGCAAAAATTGAGGGAGCTTGGTTGGGAAGTGTTAATGCATCCACCATTATAGTTTTGATTCTCAGATTAGTCTTCACCTTCAGATTTTTGTCTGTTTCAGTCTCTTTAGAATTCTTTGGGTAGTGTTAGGTTAAGATTAAGAGAGATTTGTCAAAACTACTTGGCGCATTTGTTTTTGATAAAAATCCCAAGATTGCTACAGCAACGGGATTATGTCACTATCTGCAAGTAAATGTTATTTAACTTTGACAAATAATGTTTTGAATTTGTTATAAAATACGAAGAAACTTTTTTCCCGACCTTATATAACACTAGATACACGTGTACACAACACACACACACACACACACACACACACACACACACACACACGCACACACACACACACACACTGCGCGCGCGCGTCACCCGTCACACACACACTAACACACACACACACACACACACACACACACACACACACACACACACACACACACACACAAACAATTAGCTTAATGTACATTTTTACACGTTTACACACCCGTACTACGTTTAGACCACTTTAAAATAAATATATTAATAAATTCGTCGACACTTATCTATAACTATACTAATAGTTTTAATATACAACCTTGCTTTAGTTTTGCCAATATTTTGTATAATCGTTTTATCTTTAAATATTTTTGTTACAGATAGCTGATCAGCAGTATACCTAGTATCCCATTCACTTGTCTTTGTCTACTTCTGATAGCCGCTCATAAAATTGTAACAATACTTCACTTAAGGTAAGTTCGTCTAATCTTACAATTCAATATTTAAACCCCGGAACATAATTAGCAAACTTACAATTGTATAACTTTGTAATTAGTACTTGCGATTGTTGTCACTTAGTAAAATTTCATTTAAATTTTTTGTGATTTGGATTTACACACGAAGTTGCTTCACCAATATTTTACTTTATTAACCATAAGAACCTAATATGTTTAACAAATAAAAGTTATAGTTATATCTTTGAGCAACGGTGTGAAAATTCCGAGAACAAAAACAAAATTTAAAACAGTTTTAGCGAGCACATAATTAATGTTTTTGCTTGTAGAAGCAAGATTATGAAATATACATCGACAATTAAACATAGAGCAAATATTTTATTTGTCTTTAAAAAAAATTAAAAGAATGTCGCACATTCATTTTGTTTATAGTTTATATAAATCGGTGTAAAATCTGTGTACCTAGTACATGGATTTTGTGAGATACGACCATATAACGAATGTTACTGTGCTACGAAACTTGTTTTTTTTTAATCAATTATTTAATTATGTAAATTCTCATTTAAACTATGTAAAAATATGAAATAAAGACAGACATACAATTTTATTTATGTTGGCGTATTAATTAATTAATTTATTTTGCATTACAGCCTATTAAAAGATATTTACAAGCGTTAAGAACATCTCGGGCGCGTTGGCAACAAGTTTTATTATTATTTGGCGCCGTCATCAGGGAGATCCTGCTCTCCAATGTTGGTTCCATTTCCGTTGGTCGCCTCTCACAATACACACCAAGTGATAGGGGCGGATTTAATGAATCCTCTTAAGTGTAATGGATACCTCTACAAAGCGGCCATGTTGGTATATATTTACAGTAAATAGATTTTTTACAATTTACTTATGTTACTGTAACGCGAGCTCTACGTGAATACTTGACGACTTGTGAAGACTTGTACTTTGTTCAAACAGAAAACATGACTAATGCTGACATCAGCGTGACGTCATGAGTTGGCACCATTATTACCATCTTTGGTATGCACAAGGGGTTAGTGCCTCAGTCTCAGTGTGCACTTGATTGATAAAGTTATAACATCATTTAAGATATTTTTGTGTATATCAATAAGATATATCATCAAAGTGATCATCCGTATAAGCTTTAAAATAATAACTATGACCATGTTTATATCTATTCTTCTAGGTCTTTACTAGCTCGTAGAAATCCACATCTAAAGATGTGTCTCTCCTGCTGTAGGAGGGTTTTGGCATATTTGGCTTAGTTGGTCTGGTCATCAGGCGTAATTAGAATGGTTCTACCGCATATGGCTATGAGCTATAAGATCAATCTGGCCTCTTCTATAGTCGCCTCTTATATCTCTCATGTTATCCTTGGGATGACATGAGATGATTGGAGTCTCTTTATGCTTACCACACCTCATTGTCTAGGAGTTTAAAAATCATAATAAAAACCGACAAATATTCTCTCCAGATTTGCACAATATACCCGCAGTTCTGACCTGTCTAACGGTAGTAATCAACCATGATTAACATATATAACTGGTAGTAATGTATAATTGTTTTACAAAATTCTATGTACAGTGTTGCTTCTGCTGTCAGTAGTCTGCTTCTGTCTGTAACAATAAATGTGTAGCGAAGTAACGATTATGGCGGACGGTAGTGCGTAGTTGCCACCGGCATTGGCCCTCGGTCTAACGTTGATACCCTGTAAACAGACACCGATATGATTAAACCAATCTTCCAAAAACCTTTATCGAACGCCGTCTTAGATACCTCTTTGTGATATCAATCTAATTATTAATAACTATGCCTAATAAAGTCTAAATATATACATATAAAAACTATTAACTTATTCTAAAATCGAATATCATTTCGTAAAATTTAGAGATAAATTGTTTCAAGTTTTTGGTTTCAACGGTTTTGTAAATCGAACATTTAAATGCTTGTTACATAAGAGGGCGTTCACTGAAGGCTCGAGATGCAAAGGCGGGGACATTCATTAACAAATATTATAAAAGTAAAGCTGAAAGTGAAACATTGCGAAGTGCTAATAAGCGTAGTGTGAGCCTTGAGATAAGATAAGACAGGTGCAAACACACCGTGACGCCCGTTCTAATTGCACTACTAGCATCAGACGTGCGTGTGAAGTGCGCAACTAAATCTACTTTGTTTTGTTACATTGAAGGTAAAGCTTGAAAGAAGAAAGTTATTAGATTAAACTCTGCAGCAAACGAGTAATCTACTAAGCGAACCACCGCCCGCGGGTCGACAGTGAAGTTTTAACATGTTGTCAACAACCAAATGTTGTCGAAAATAAATACTGCAGAAGGCAGTTAAGAGGAAGAAAAATAGATATTCTTATTCTAACCATGACGTTCAGTAAATTTTAGAAACATCAGTACAATATTGAGGAAAATGTCGAATTAGGTACTTTTTGGTAAATTTTTAATTACAACGTTTAATAATAAATATAGCTAGAGTTTATGTACTCGTATACATAGTTGCGACAGTATTATGTTGTTGTCTTTAAATATATTGGTTTGTAGCAACAGAAAAGCAGAAGAATAATACCATAGGAGTGATGCCACAACCAGCTCTGTGATTCTAACGTGACTCTGAACGCAAATTGGACAGCTCCAAAATGTTCAGTAAAAACAACAAGACAGAAAAGTTATTTAGTAAGAGGTGGGGTCTGAAGGTATACAGTGCTGGGATTGTAATACTATCCTTAAAAAAAATGTACATCAGACGACTTTAGAATGTCCGGTTAAAATAACAAGACCGAAAAGTTACTTCGTAGATGAGGACGGAAGGTGGAGAAGTGTTGTAAGGAGAGCGGTGCTTAATAACACAGAAAGACAGAAAATTTAATTCGTAAGAGATCGGGTCGGAAAATGAAGAAGTGTGCGTAGAGCGGCGCTAGTGCTGGTGGGGGTACTCACGAGGGGGTGTCGGACTGGTGGCGGGCGGCGGGGAGCAGCAGCAGCGGGCCCGCCGCGCCCTCCACGGCCGCGTACAGCGGCGGCAGCACCTTGTGCGAGTGTGCCTCCGCTGCGGACACACACACGTTAGCGGCTCAACGCACGCACACGCACACACGCACGCACACACACACACACACACACACACTCACACACACACACACAAACAAACATACTACAAACCTGACAGTCCGGCACCGGGCCGCGGCACCCCGTGCCCGCCACCCATGCTCTTCGGCTTCCGCTTGCGCGTTTGGATGCCGTCCTTCTTCATACTCAGCGGCCGGTTTACCTGCGAACACGTGCAATCTTTTAACTCGTCCGGTAGACGGGGAAACTCCTCGTAATCTGCCGCCACGCGCCCCTATCATCCTTCAAACAAGCGTATCTACTAGCGAGGAGATAATTGATAAAAGATTATTTATCTCATTATGAATATTCGTGGTCGCAGTGATAATTCTCTATCAGTCGGTAGCCCCGGTCGCGTTTATCTCGCGAGATTAGATGAGACCCTGTGTTTTGATTTTTTTATACAGTCCCAATATTTGCCGAGGAGTTCCCTGATAGCTGCGACTGCAGAGCTCCGATTAGATACCTGGCGCACTCCGCCGCCGTCACCTAATCAGTGGGACGTTGTAATCGATGCACAATCGCCGGCACACGTGAGATACTGCTATCTAGCACCGGTGGGCCGGCTGCTAATAGATACTGCGTCTTTGTGTTATCTGAACTCATTCATGAGACAGATCATGCCATCATTAGTCAAACACATACTGTTAGCTGTTAGTATCTGTATCATAGACTGTCGCTTACGTTGTGCAGCTTGTAGTAGAGTCCGCAGGCGTTGCAGACCGGCTCCCCGTTGTTGTTTCGCCTCCACAGCGTCGTGTTGGACGTGCGACAGTTGGCACACGTCACTCCCAAGCGTCTGTTGCCGTTAGGAGGCTGTAAGAAACATATTCTATCAGTATAATTACTACCTTTATATGAACAGAAGACGACGTGTAGTGGCGGTGGAATCACTACATCACACCCTGGGTGTCGTCAGATGTGACAGAGGGAAATGAAAAAGGAGATGGCTATCAGCGTATTTTTGTATATATATAAACTCAAAATAACAATAAAACTTGGACTGCTAACCCGTTGGCTAAGTGCGATAACTATAGAAAATATTTCTCTAATGAGGGTATAGATACCTCTTGTGAGTAATATATGGGTGCAGCCCTATCTTCAGCAGTAGGCTTTCAATAGGCCAGATTACACACACACGGGTTGGCTCGACAGGGGGAGAACCATGCTCTTACAGAACACCAGCGTGAAACAGCATAATGTTGCTGTGTTTTGTATGGTGAGACTAGAGAACTGCAGACCATTTTTACTGGAAACAAGGCATTTCATCTTAGTCCTCAGGGGTGACATCACATTTGCATTTTTATTCCTAACTGAGCATACTCGTAAATGTAAATGAGTATTGGCCACAGCATCCATTCACCACCAGGTGGACTGTGTCTTCGTTTGTCACACTTATCCATAAAAAGAATAAAATAATGATGCGTGATGACGAACTGAGATGAAACAAGGATAAACAAATTAAATAAGCAAAAGTATTGAGTTATTGCTACATCGCACCAGTGCCTGTTGAGGTTTCGCTTTCTGTCCCTTAAGCGGAGGTCGGTTGACGCCGTTGATGCGGGTGTAGAGGCCGCACGCATTGCACAGGTAGTGGCCAGTGCCGTCGCGCCGCCACAGTGGGGTCGTCGCGGCCGCACAGTTCACGCACTCCTTAACCTCGCCCATACCAGCCATGCCTGGAAATTACGGAAGTTTCTAGAGGAACTGTGCCCAAGACTGGCTACAAAAGGGCTGTTTCTTTCCTTATCCAAAGGCTAAATATAGCCATGCCTGGAAGTAATGAAACTTTACAGAGGAATTGTATCTGCGGCAAAAGAGCTGGTTCTTTCCAGGCCCAACGACTTCGTGTAGCATTAATGTCCTCCAGACCGAGTTTCAGTCAAAGTGGCCAGTCTCAACGGAGCCTAGCCTTTGCACAGGACGGAATTATTGAGCCTGAGTGTATACAGACACCATTGCGCTGTATATTCCCTCACTCTCATAGTCCTACAAGATGATTTTCCGACACGACCGGAGAGAGCGCAGACGCAGGAATGTTATATCCGTTAATTTGTTGTTTTCTTTTCTTCTTTTTTTAATTTTGTTTACTATTTTTAATTGAGATGTCTATAAATATTAAAATTTAAGTGCTCATGATGTTTGTGGGGTGGTGCAATAATAGCTTCTTTTTTTTTCTTCCTTTACAAGTCCTTTGCTGAAAACATAGTCCACCCCCAAGGTATGCCACAAAACACGGTCCTGACCCACCTGCATCCATCGACATCCTTTTTTTACATGAGGAAAGGCCTACGCATACCCGCCTCGCGGGGGCAAAGACGGGTTATTTCGGACTCGCACCGACTAAAACCCCATGGTGTTCCACCTTCGTCGCATATTAGCAGGGCCAAGGTAGCGCTTTCGCAGACATCCGCGGCCCCACCAGTGCCAGCCGCTGGCGAGAAGCTGGAGAGTACTACTCCTCCCCTTCTCCTTTTCAGGTAAGGCGCACCGGAACACTTGGTGCACCTTCCTGCACAGCCTCTAACTACACCTGCGCAACGAACGCCCCCGTGTCCGATGCGCGAAGGCCATGGGGCCAGGAAAAACGAGCACTCAGAAGCACTAGCCTTCCTGACCCCAGCGGTGGATCTGGTCTATGGCTCCGCCACCAACATCTCCTACATCTCTTACCACGTTGTCATTCTATCTAGCGGAGGCCGAATTACACGTCGCTTACCGGTACGAGGTTTCCACTCGGGAACCTTTCTTCAATTCTTCGAGCTATATGGACGGTCCATTGCCATTTTAGCTCACTAATCCGTTGGGCCGTATTGGTAGCTCTTGAATAAATGAAATTGAATGAATGAATTGTTTGAAACGCGTATATCCGAAAATAATATGAGTACTTACTAGGATCGAAGGCATCATCGATTGGTAAAAGATTATGCGTGGGCCACGCTTGTGCAGGTGTTGCGTAACCTTCCACCAACAAGCCGCCTTCGTATCCCGAGACAGGGACGTATTCCACGCCACCACCCTGGCCAAGGTAGTGCTCTCCTCCAACTTTGTATTGGACCGTGTTGCCGTGGGTGTACAGCGTTACCTGATAGAAAAACAATCGATTACAAGTGTTATCTTCTACTATTTCTTCTTTCGTATAAAGGTGGGCTAAGACACCTCCCATATAGCCCCGTGGGTATCGTAAGAGGCGACAGTGGGTAACAAATCAGTATCGGCTTCTTAATAACAACTAAAACATTAAAAACATGCGTTTGCCCACACGCCAAGTTTGGCAACTACGGCAAATATCCCCCCTAAGAGACCACTCGTTGCTCGTTCCCTAACCCCATGTGCCGTGAATGTGTCCGTGGTAGCCCCACTCGATGTAGTAGCTGTGATCGATCCAGATAATTCAGTTTCTTTTGTCTCTCTTGACACCCCTGTTCTTGTTCTGGTGCCCTCGACCCTCTCATTTTGTTCCTGTGACCTCTTCATCTTGCAAGAGGGGAACTGTTGGCCTACAATGACCTAAAGCCCTACTTTCCTAACCTAACCTAACACTCCCTACCGGTCCCTATCAATCTTGGGCAGGAGCCTACCGCGGTGAAACTTGTAGGAGGCCTTCAGCGGAGGACTTTTATAAGGCTGTAACGATATACATTTTTTCCTTCAATGCTCTTAAAAGAGCTTTAAAGTATATCCCTCTGTCCCCTTAATTATCACGCTTGGACAGGGGATTGAAGGCCCCAGTACCAGACTTCTCGCACCCTGTTTGCAGCTGCTCACCGATGGACTGAGTATTTAGAAGTTCCTCAATATGTTGTCGATGTTGAACAACATGTAGTAACTAAATCAACATTTGAAATAGGAATTAACTATTTCGTTGGTGCCGGCGAAGATCGAACCTGATTTATTTGCGTGCTGTGAAATTACAGCGAGTGCTTAGCCCCTGAGCTACCACTGCACGTGGGTATTAGAACCTGAGTATTAGAAATCGTAAAAATGTTGGCAGGGTTGAAAAAAATAGGACATCAAGTTTTTCAAACCTATCAAGTTAGAAACTATTTAGACCACATTATAGTAATTAGCTAGCTTGAACTTTTTAAAGCTTTAAGTTTTTTTTAAATAAAATCGTATTTAAAAACAAAACAAATAATTTCCACTTAGCTTAGCTTCTGAAGTCGGGGCTTGAAGTGTTCGATACTCTACGTCTTAGCACTGATTTCGAGAAGCTATTATAAGGAAATTATGCCCTTTTTTGTAGTCAATTTTACTTTTTCAATAAAAGTTTAATCATACAAATTAGTAGTACTTTGCGTGTGTGTGCGTGTATTAGTTAATTTAGTAATGTACTCGTATACACAGCAACTCACTTGTTGCGAGTTTGGACTGGGTGGTGCCTCGTACATGGCCTGTGATTGTGGTACTACGGAACCGTACACGACGTGTGCTCCTCGAGAGTTGAGTGATGAAGATGAGAGTGTAGGGTCGCTGCGGTACAGCAGCTGGCCTGGCGGTGACTCATCCCCTCTCGCCGCTCCTGTTGCGCTGCCGTAAAGTGTGAGCAGTTCCTTGGTACCACCACCATACGCACCATACGCGCCACTCGCAGCGTACTGCGGGCTCTGACTAGCATACGCGTAACCACCATGCACAGAAGTCACTGGTTGCAGGCTCGCGTACGTGGTCGGTCGCGGCTCGGCTTCACCGCGCGATTCATATTTCACTTGTTGATACGCAACGCCGACCGCTTGCTGGTTGTTCAGAGACGTGGTTTGGATCATCTCGAGCGTAGTCGTCGCCGCCTGTTCGCCGAGAGCCACCGCATACTGGCGGGCGTCCTGAGCCACGTTCGCGTCACTCGTCGCCGAGTATGTTTGCAACTGTTCGTTCTTGTCTTTGTGAGCTAAGAATGCGTCATGCGCATGCTCCTCGCTCTCGCCGTCCTGAGCCACGATCACATGATGAGGGGTGCCATAACGTAGTGCTAGCCCCCGTCCGTAGGCAGTTCTCGGCGGGCCGCGTGTGAATTGAGGCATCGGTCGTTTATCGGTGGGCAGTGGCGACTGCAGCGCTCGGTACGGCTCCTGTTTGAACGCTAGGTAACGGGCGGTTTCAGCTTCGGCGAGTCGTAAGCGCTCTTCATCATAGGTGTGATGGGAGACGCGATGTTCGACGTTCTCTTCGAGTTTGGGTGCGTATTGCATCTGCTGGTCGGTTTCCAGTGGGGGTGGTTCAGGTGGCTCGTCTTTAACACCGTCGTCTGGTGGTAGCTCTCCAGCTTCTGCGATATGGCCCGCGGTTGTAATAGTGCGTAGCGAGCGCCGAGATGTGATGACAGAGTGAGGCTCCCCGCCCGGCCCATGTTCGTTTGATCCTTCCATTTCATTACTGACAGCTACGCGTTCTTCATTCTTTACGAGTTGGAGTGCCTCGTCGGCTCCATCGTTCGCAACCACACCGCTTCCATTATCTTCGTCACGTTGCTCTTCGCTGGTACGTCCCAGAGACGTTACGTTCTCCATTCTCTGTTAACAAATGTAAAAAAAAACAACATTAGAACCTAGAAATCCGAAGTGCGTGTTAGATTTTGAGTCGGAAGGATGTAGTTGTACATTTGGAACCAGTCGTATAGCAAACAGAGGTACGTGTTTGGAGCGGAAGAGTCGCCGCGGAAATACAAATAGGGACGAGTTCAAGAGCCGGCGCCGGCGCCGCCCCGGTCGCTGACTCCACGCACGATCACCTATTGGTATCCTAGCCTTGGTCTGTAACTCAAGATTTTGTAAAAGGAACTAAATTAAATATCCAAATGCATAGCAACTAGTAATACCATTTACTCCACCTCACAAGGTAATGTATATGCTGTTTGCAACAATATACCTTAAAATATCTTCTTCGTTTGAAGGTGGATACAGGTGACTATTAGCTGCAGTGATCAATGACCAATCAGGTCGACAGTAGTTACGTTTATAAATTCAATTTTATAAATGAATTATACAAACAAAATTACTTGGTGATAGATAATTACCAAGTAAAATATTCTTATTAAAGAAATATTGCATAAAAAGGGTAATATATCAATAAATGGTTGGCAATACCACTAGAAATGAGGTCATGGCTGCCACGCCGTTTGAATTTATGAACAATTTGTGTATTTACTTTAAAGTTCCGCTGGTTCTTCCCAAGACTTTTACCGAAACTAATGGTAACTAACTAAACTAATGGTAAAAGTAAAAATTACTTCCAATAAGTATTATAATTTATAATCTATATTTTATAGAAATTATTCTATTCTTTTGAAAAATAAATTTAAAAAAATATAACTAAGAACAGAACTATCGAATCTTTCTAGCATTTTATACGTGCACACTTATATATAGCACACTTATACGTGGTAGTGCCACAAATGGGTCGGCTCGGTAGAGGAGGGACCACGCTCTCACAGAATACCAGCTTAATACTGCTGTGTTTTGTATGGTGAATGTAGAGATTCGGAGACCCTTTCTTACTATAAACGTGGCATTCAATCTTAGTCCTCAGCCTCAGGGGTTACAACGCATCTGCGTTTTAATTCTTAATCGATGATAAATGTAGATGTCTATTGGCCTCAATGTTCACTTACCGTCGGGTGTGCTGTGAACCTTATTCTATAAAAAAAATGCTCGCTTCCTACTTATGGGACGAGATGGTATGTGCTGATGTGGTTAAATAAGGTTCATTTAGCTTTATGTTTGTAGATATTTTCTTGTAGAGTTTCAATACAACTGAAAATTATGTCATCTTAACCTCCGAGTTAAAAAAAAAAACTGCGACATAACCTAAATTCTTTATTAAATTATGATTTCGAATTTAAAGAATTTCAGCAAAATAATAAGATCTATTAGGCTCCAGTTATCGAAACTAGTTCTTGTTTAGTTTATAATTACTGTAACTGTTGTAATCTCGTCATAATTAAACGTCATCGTATTTCATATGAACCGGTTTCAAAACGTTCATGAATTTGGAACAACGCGTCGGGTGCTTCGCTGCTCGCGGCGGAAGGACTGCGCTCAGGCGCTGTGTGCTCGTGGCGTGCAAATAACACCATACTCACAGAAAATTGCACCCTCTCGCCGTCGCATTAAGGTTTCTTTTACCTTCCAGCTGCTCCAGCTCTTCGTAGCAACTAACTTTGTACTGAAGAGCACAGGAGTAAAACTCAAAACGGATCGGCGCCGCGCCCTCGCACTATTTTATGACGTGTTTGCTCAGCACACTGATCCAGCGATAACCACACCGGGCCCTACATCTTGTGATAACGTCTGTATTATTAAAAATATTTATCGCAGGCACTCTGGCGCGGCTACAGCGAAGTGGGGAAACCGATTCGTCTATGTCAACCACTCCTAAAAATCACTAGAGAAATATATCACGGTTTGTAGACAATTGTTAAACTTTTTGTACTGTAACTACTCGATCGCAGCGGGATATCATTTTACATTTCACAAGTTTATCCTTACCAATATAAAACTTTTAGATGAGAGTCCAGTTTAATTTATCAAACATAACAAGAATTTATCATTAGAGAAGGGCGCCATTAGTAAGCACCATTTACCTATTAAAATGACTCGTTCATCAGATTCCGCTCGAAGCACGCGCCATATTGATTTTGCGACCGTCGTATACATAAGTATTGTTGCCACAAAAATGAAGCCTACAACACATTGTTGGAAAACACGTATCTAACGGCACTTCTTATTTCAAAATCCATGAAGCCGCACAGAACAGTTAGACTACAGAAGGTCGCACAGAACAGTCAAAAATACTCGTTTTTACGTGCAGTAAGCTGTAACTACGAGCTGATAAAATTACGAGACATGTCTTCTAAGTTTTGCCGTTTGACCAAAAATATACAACTAGAATCTTATAGTATTATTTTCATAGTTTTCACCACACAACTTAATACACTTTTCCATTCGCTTGAATCAGTAATTAAAACATTTATTCCACTCCAAATTGGGGGTGTTCAATATGACTGTCTTGAAAGCGTCGACTGCTTCTTCACCGGACTGGAACCTGACCACGAAGATTTTTCTTAATTTTAGGAAATGTAAAGAAATCGTTAGGCGTAGATCAGGACTGTATGAAGGATGGGCTAGAATTTCTATGTTTTCTTGTTTCAAATACTCAATCGTTTGACCAGCGCTGTGTGAGCTTACGTTGTCGTGGTGTAGGATGATGCATCGCTTTGTCTTAGATTTCCGAAGTTCGGCGATGACTTGTGGTAAACAAACTGTGGTATACCACTCTGCGTTAAATTTTCTACGATCTTCAAATGCAACGCAACGCAACATGGTCGGTTTCGGCAATGAACGTGGCCACCATTTTCTTTGAAGTGCTTCGAGAGCGGCTTTAGTCGGCTTGGGCTCGTCTTGGAATACCCAGATTTTAGATTGCTATTTAGAATCGGGATCGTAGGCATAGATCCAAGATTCGTTACCAGTGATAATGTTGTTGACGTGATTTGACTCCCATGAAGAGTTTTCTTACATCATCTGATGCGAGTCGCCTTATAATCGCCGAAAAGGAAATGTGGGATCCAACGGAAAATTAGCTTTTCTCAAACCAAGCGCTTCATGCAAGATCTTCTGAATGGTTGTCCTTGAGATGCCTAATAACGCTTTATCTCTCGTTAAGTCACATGATGATCTTCGAGAATTAGTTTTCTCACAGCAACGATGTTATTTTCGGTGAAGGTGGATTTTGGACGTCCTTCACGAGATTTGTTATTAAGATTGGTATGTCCACCCTGAAATTCTAAATACCAGCGTTCGACAGTTCTCAGACAAGGTGCTTCATGATGGAATGCAGAAGTAAGCTCTTCGAAATACTAAAGCCGTGTTGGACCTCTACGAATGTTGTAGAAAATTATTGCATGGATATTTTCCTTAGTAAGATTCATTTTCATACGTGACTTGACAGATTCAAACGACTCTGTGACTAAACAATAGCATTAATTCACATACTTTCAATTGTTTTGAGATTCTGACTTTAAACAAATTTGAATATTGAACAGTTCCAAATTCAAAATTTCTGGTAAATATGTAAAAGACAGAACTTAAAAGGCATGCTAGTAAAAGATAGTCGAACCTTCTATGTATCACAAATATCAAAAGCAAATTGATCTCAGGTTATAAGATTATTAAATTATGTAAAATATATTGTAAAACAATGTTTAACAAAAAGTTCCGCTGGGTTTCCTGCTGGTTCTTCTCTGGACAGAGATTTTTTTTCTGAAGAAGTGGTAGTGCTTAAATGACTTTCAGTATATATTATTGTAATTATTCTGTTCTAAATTATGCATCAAACTAAGGGCATCGCCAGCAAACTTTAACATCATACCGGTTTATGCACCAACCAGTGCCGCATGTAATGAGGATGTCGAATCGTTCTACTTGAAGCTAGAGACTACAATATCTAAGATTCCACAAAGAGAGTTGCTTATCATTATAGGAGACTTTAACTCTAAGGTCGGTTCCGATTCCCATCTACTAAGTCCTTGTTTGGGAAAGTATGGACTGGGGCAGCGTAACGAAAGAGGGGAACGACTAATTCAATTTGCAGCAGAAAACAACCTCGTTATATCAAATACTTTCTTCCAAAACCATTCTCGGAGACTTTACACTTGGATATCACCTGACGGCAATTATCGTAACCAAATTGACTATGTATTGGTTAGATCACGGTGGAAGACATCCATCAGGAACACCCACACTTTACCAGGAGCCGACTGTGGTTCAGATCACCAACTGCTGATGGCCAAAATTCAGCTTAAGCTAAGAGCGGCCCGAAAAATTGTTCAACAGCGGAGGCTCGAAGTAAAGGATAGATCAAAATTTTTAGCCGCATTAGAGGAAAACTGGAATCAGTGGGCAATTGTGAACTCTAAGACCGAGTGTCCAGATAAAATGTGGGATTGCGCAAAGAACCTTATTAGTTGCGCTGTCAAGCAAACAGCTCCAACCTCAGATACTCGTAAAAGGCACTGGAACACTGGATGAGTGACAGCACTCTCGCTCTTGTAAAGGAAAGACGAGAGATGAAGGCTACGGGAACAGATGTGAGGACATTAAATGAAAAGTCTGCAAATATACAGACAGCATGTAGGCGAGACTTTAATGCCCATTTTCAGAATATATGTGCAGAAGTTGAAAGCCATGCAAATAAATATGAATCTAGGGACCTTCATCAAAAAATTCGATCGATGACCCGATCTCTCTGTACCAAAACATGGGCTATAGAGAACTCTCATGGTCAAACAGTGACAGAGATAGAAGCAATATCGGAAACTTGGAAGGAATACTGTCAATCACTGTTTGAGGACGTGGAATCACAGTGTTTTGCCTCGACAGAACCCATGGACGAAGAAAAAGAGCCAAACATTCTGAAGGACGAAATCAGAGCGGCTATAAAACATCTGAAGACTGGAAAAGCTACAGGCAAGGATTCGATTCCCATTGAAACAATCAAAGCCTCAAAAGAATATGGCGTCCAAATTTTTCATGCACTGTGTAACAGGGTGTGGCATACAGGTGCGTGGCCGAAAGAATGGGCTCATAGTGTCTTTATTCCACTTCACAAGAAGGGTTCTACGAAAGTGTGTAGCAACTATCGCCTTATTGCGCTAATTCCTCATGCAAGTAAAATTTTGCTTGCACATTTTAAACGAGCGCCTGAAATCCTACCTGTCCAAGGAGATTGCTCCAGAGCAAGCTGGCTTTGTTAGAGGGAGGGGTACCAGGGAGCAAATACTTATCGTGCGACAAATTATTGAGAAATCCCGCGAGTACAATAAGGCAACATACATCTGCTTTGTGGATTTTTCCAAGGCATTTGATTCCGTCAAGTGGCCTAAACTTTGGGACACCCTGCTGAGAATGGGCACACCAAAACATCTGGTACATCTGCTCAGGTGTCTTTACGAAGGTGGTACTGCATCCGTAAGAACAGACGACAAGCTGTCAGATCACTTTCATCCTAGTGCTGGCGTTCGTCAAGGATGTATAATCTCCCCACTTCTATTTAACATCTACACAGAGCTAATAATGAGACGCACTCTCGAGAACTGGACTGATGGAATCTCAATTGGAGGGCTGAAAATCTCGAACTTACGATACGCGGATGACACTACCCTATTTGCGACTAGTATCGGCCATATGGAAGAACTCCTACAAAGGATGGAAAACGTCAGTCTTGAATTCGGCCTTCGGATCAATCGCAGCAAAACTAAAGTTATGATTGTCGATCGCATCAACAATAACTCGCCGGAAGTGACACAAATCGCGAAATGTCAAGTAGTCCAATCATACATTTATTTAGGAGCGCTAATTTCGAGCAACGGGGGCTGCATAGATGAAATAAAACGACGTATGGCGATATCTAGGACAGCCATGGATAAGTTGCGGAAGATATGGAGGAACCGTAACATAACAAAAGCCACTAAGACCCGGTTAGTTAGAGCGCTTGTGTTCCCCATATTCCTCTACGCTTCGGAAACATGGACCCTGCTAGAAAGTGAGAAGAAGAGAATAGACGCTCTCGAGATGTGGTGCTGGAGAAGAATGCTGAGAGTGTCCTGGACCGAATTCCGGACCAATAAGTCCATTCTCGAAGAACTCCGCATCAAGCAACGTCTGTCATCTATTGTGCAAGCTCGCATACTCACTTTCTTTGGTCACGTGTCTAGACGTAATGATATCTCGATTGAACGTCTAGTGGTCCAGGGAAGAGTAGAGGGCACTAGAGCGCGTGGCAGATCGCCTATGAGATGGACAGACCAGGTGAGGGCTGCGGTGGATGTCCCGTTGCATGAGTGCACAAGAAAGGCAGCTGTTAGGGAGGAGTGGAGGGGTATTGTAAAGCGTGCCACAACACCCAAGTGACGACCACGACCGCTCTGTCAAAAGCGTATCGACTGAGAAGAAGAAGAAGAAGAAATTATGCACAAAATTTTACAAAACAGCGCGCGCAAGTTTCTAATGATGTAGTGATTAACACTTCGTACGTTACACTTTGTACTTGTAACTAATACTTACCTTGCAGTCATAAAATATGAAAGATCGATAATTTCATAATACAGGTATTTATATACTTAAATGGAATGCTATAAAAATGTACTGGTAAACTTGGTATGTTACAGAAATGAAGAATATTGATTTTTAAAAAAAAAGTAATTGTTTCCACAACTGTTATTCACCAACTCTTCGGAGTTATTCAAGTGTCGACTAACGTCAAGCTCTTGAAGCAGTTATAGAGGACGAATACGTTTATTATAGTTTAATTTGTAATTTTCAAAAATTTCACCAATAACTTGCTTATTTGCTGCACAATTTAAAAGACTTTAATTTAGT